CAGGAATCAATCAAACATTAAAAACAAACAATTTACAGAGCAGTCTGGTTGAAACAGTACAATTGAAGACGGAAATCATTGTTTTTCGATGAGAATCTCCCAAAACGAAATTCACTGACGAGTTTTACTCACATCTCTCTCTTCTAGAGTCAGTTGCAAAACCACACGAACAAAAATTGATGTTTTACATTTCCCTCTTGTTCCTCCCTTTACTCACTAAGAGAAAAACCCAAGAACAGAGAGTTCATGGATTGGAAAGAGTGGCACGTTCTAAATTGAACGAATAATCCAACAGCGAATCCAATCTTGCTCGGTCACAAACCTTCAGCGCTGGTAATGCACCCATCTGAAATTTATTCGTTATTCATAAATGTAAATTCCACGAGTTGACATGTCTCTGACAGAATCCAGTCACCTAGCAGTGCAACAATATAAAAGCTTCAGTAGTGTTCGCTGAAAATGAAAGACAACGGTGACAACTGCGAAATAAACATTCGATGACTCGTGACGAGATGCCAAAAAACAGATGAAAATCGAAGAGTCATAGGCCAGAAAACGCCTATCATAGATCTGCTGTTCAGTTTCAGTTAAAATGAAAGACAATGATCCAGATAAACACTAGAGACGATACTTATTTCTGAATACAAATCGAAGATACACAATGAAGAACGTTCGATCGTCCACGCAAAATTTCAAAACTATTCTCCAACAAAAATGAATGGAGCACAACGAATCCAAACTGTATGAGGAAGTGAAATAAAAAATAAGGATCGAACTGGAAATGCATGGCAAAAACGAAATAAGTGGTACCTTTCTGAGAGACAGATAAGTCTGCACTGAAGGGTTCAGCTTGAATGGTACGTCGTCAACACCGTAACGTGTGGATGGCAATTTAATTGTAAGGGAGTTCCGATGTGCTATGTCGCGTTCCGCAGATGATGAGCCACCTAAGTTGGGCGTGGAACGATGATCATCCTGCTGTACTTTTGGATATAGACCCCCAGCGCTGAAAATTTTAAATAAAAATCAAGCATCACTTGCGTTCTTTCGACAAAAACTTTCATTGAGCACGCTCAAATCAGCTTGCAAAATTTTTTCAACTTCACAGGCAATTGTCCTCATCATATGCTGGAATCTGTTGAAAGGAAGTTTTATCTCTTAGCCAGAACAACCTAAAATGTTTGATGGCTTGCAGAATGGTCGGTAGAGGACGGCGCTATCGAACTAATGAACGAGGAAGTTTAATAAACAAACTTCAAATGTGATACGTTTATCCAACTTTCTGAAGAAAATTGACAGTAGTCATTCACGAAGGCTTATTTGAAGGGATATGGTCAGTGAGAGAGATTTGAGGTAAAATATTCAGGTAAAAAGAATGCGTACTTACGAGTGACTTCGAGGAAGATTAATTCCAAACGTAGATGGGATAACAATATGTTTGAAGCATATCAAAGAACCGTCAATTTCACTGAAATGATACAAACATCCTGAAGTATGGTGCATCAAACCAATGAAGTTCAAAGAATTTAGAAGAAAAATTACGGTAACATCATTTTGCATGCATAAGCTCTGGAAAATTTGTTTAAGCCAGAGCTGTTTGAAGTAGTGCACGAAATCTTGGTATAATTAACAAACAATTAAATCGGATTATCATGAAAATCAGAACATTCTTTTCAATTCTCAATCAACAGTAGCTGACTTCAAGATAATCAGCCTTCAATCTGATCCATACAATTGATTTCTCGAAAAAATAAAATAAAAATAACACCGTTAATGCGCTCTTCAAAACATTATAAAAACAAACCCTGCAGACGAAAAATTCTTAGGAGGTTTTTTCTGTCGATTCAGGACGATTATTTCACCAATAGCATCCACCACTGTATCACGAGCCATCGTTCGCACACACAAATATTTCTTTCTCAGTGACTTCTCTTCTATAAAGCAATCGAATAAGGAATCAAGTTTTGTCGATAGTAACTGTTCATTTTCATAATGCTCGATTTTGCTATCGAAATGAACAATTCCGATAGCAGAATGTAATTTTAAATTGAAATAAGACTGAAACCGATGATGGACGGATGATTATGAATGCATTACTGTTTCAGAGCGTGTGGGAATCTGCGTGCAAAACACTACCAAAAATTACCACGAACCAAAAGTAGCAAGGTAGTCTTTAAAAGATGTGTGGAACACGATCCAGAGCATCGTTACAGAGAATGTTTTATGGTACGAATAAAGATGGAAGCGACAACAGAAACACATTAAACAAAATGAGGTTGACAGGAAAAAGCATTACTTGAATCAGCAGTGTAATCGATAGCGATGAAACCAACTGGGATCGGATCTGTGTCTTTTACAACACACAAATCAGTTACCACTTGAACACTCATCTAGAACTTATTCATTTCATTTCATTTCGTTTCAACAAATGATCACATTCATCACATTTTGATAACCTTCACTGAACTATAAGCAATTTTTGCGTTGATAAAATCATCAAACGTTGACAATTCTTTGCCAATTACGTGAAGGTATTGCCACTGATTATAGTTCAAAGACTACTTTCATGAGTGAAACAAAATTAGTACAGAATCGTCATAATTTTTTTTTAAATAACTGATTCAACTTTCAAATAATTTCCCCCAGAAATTATATCTAATTTAAAGAGACGGATGAAGAGTGAAAGGAGGTATTTTCAAGTAATTTGTGGATGGATGTTGATAAATGGGCAAAATTTACCGCATTCGACGGAGTATCGCGACTGACAGCCAAGTAACGAACAGGACGACTGAAGAACGAGAAGGAACTCTCTTTCCATAAATCTGCATCCGACAGATCATCGTGAGTCTTCGTTATCTGTAACGTGATAAGTGATCCTCAGATTCGAGATAATTTTAGTGAATCACTTCAGCAACAAATTGAAATGTCATTTTTCATCCAATACAAATTTCTGCCAGAACAGGGCCGACTGAACCGTAAGCACCGTGATATATCGCCCCGTGGTAATGCACCGACTATGAATAATCGATTTTCATTATCACTGAACAATTTGATGATGAAATAAACGAACTGGTAGAAAACCACGAGGACATTTGTTTTTATCGGCAACAATAACCACCGCTGTGATCGGATCCATGTCTCGTACACTGCCCACCTCAATTGCTGGAGACAAAACTGCTGCGCTCATTGAGATGAACTTTTGTTGGCGGTGACTCACGCAAACCGTACGGACAGTTGGGCAAACACGCCTGCAATACGATTATTACACTCTAATGTTCGCATAACTTTCGCATAAGCATTGGCGAGATTTCGATGACACAGTACGATACCGAGCCGGGCACAATTGGATGAAGTGAACATCAATCGTTCCGTTGTTGACTTCGGTTTATGTTCACGGTGAGGTAAAACCACAAATGGTGACTTGAAATCAGTTAGTTTTAGTCGAACAGCATCGTTCCACTGCTAACTTCGGTTGAAAAATTTCTAACATTCCAAGCAACACTCCCTTAACTTAGTCAATATTTTGCTTCGAATTCGCATATATAACAATGCAAAAATCATGAACACATCTCTGCCATGAACACATCTCTGCCACCCCCCCCCCTCTTCCCCACCCCCTTGAAAACCGCTGTAATCAAAGGATCTAGCATACACTCGAGGCTATTTTACGCTTCATTTGCAACTAAACAGGCGTGGCCTATTTTATGGCCTAATAAACTCGTTGTCGCTCGTTGCCACAACGAGCGAACAATTATTGTTGGCCATTTGGATAGAATGAAAAATTATTTCCGAATATAAGGACAGGGGGGAGGGGAGGGGGGGGGAGGTGTGAATAACATTCCATTCTCATTGTACGGGAATTTGGGAGTTCGAATTTCTTGTGAAAGAATTTTTAGAGATATTGTGGTTCGAAATGTTCCTGAAGAAAGTAATTATATTGAGGGTTTGCGAAATTTCGACCATTTTCTCAATCCCGGGATTGAAAAGCAGCTTTTGATATGTTTGATATGTTCAACACATTCTTTTTGAACCAATGTGTTCATAATTAATCAGAAAACAGTCTGTTCAGCAAATCATTCAACACCACTCAATAATTCCAATAAATTCAACGGAACAAAACAATTGAAACAAAATCGTAATGAAAGTGTTTGTGACGAAAAAAATAGACTTAAAACTGACACAATAACAAAAAGTTCAAAAAACAAGATTCAGTAAGGCTTGAAATGAACTTTCGTAAAGATTAGAGCGTCGATTGTTGCATCGCTCATCCAATTTCTCAGACTTGTTCAATGAAAAGAAAATGCGGACAAGGCTCATTCACTTTCGACACTTGTCAGTGAGATCGAACTTTGGCTTATCATCATTTCTACTGCGAGAGACAATCAGCGATATTCGTGGTCCATTTCTTCAATCTATCGATGGAGAGCTCTAGCGTGGAGATATGCAATGAATCATCTTTTCATTACCATATGGGTGATGAACAACAAAGACAAATGCATACTGATGATTGGGAATAATTTATGCTTAATTCGTAATGGGTATACTACTAAATTCAGACAAAAGGACTTGTGTTATGAATCCTGGAAATGCCGTGAATCCCAGGATCGAGTTGGGATTCAAAAGCCGGTTATCGGAATCCTCGTGATCCCGTGCAAACATTAATTATGCCTGTGATGAATTAGAGCAGTAGTTCTCAAGCTTTTTCCTCCTCTCCCCTGTACCCATAAATACAAATGCTCTTGTTCCACGATACTTGATCTGTTCCAAAATGTTTTGTTCTGTTCTATTCCGACCTTCGGTTGTTCTGTTTGTTCTGTTCTTCGAGTTCCTTTTTTTTTTGAACTATTCCCTTCTGTTGCTTAGAATACAGCAGGAATGGAACCGTTCGATTTGACCGGAAACATCACTCGTTCAGAGCAGCTCATAGCTATGTAAATCGCTTTGTCGCCGTCGTCGTGTAGCCTGATCTTACGTGACATTCACTAATGCAATCAAACATTTGCGTCAGCATGATAATTGCCTTCACTAAACTTTGACAATGAAATTATCTAGTTCGATTTGACCGGAAACATCACTCGTTCAGAGCAGCTCATAGCTATGTAAATCGCTTTGTCGCCGTCGTCGTGTAGCCTGATCTTACGTGACATTCACTAATGCAATCAAACATTTGCGTCAGCATGATAATTGCCTTCACTAAACTTTGACAATGAAATTATCTATAACGATAATGCTAAGCGTATTATCAAAACCGTTTAGCACTCAGCTGTCTTCATATGATAGTGCATTTGATTTCAATCAGTCTTTTTTTTACACAACTTGAACGTGCACTCGTTTATTTTAACGTAATCATTCAGACTGCTTTCGCACCAATCGCGAAAAATAAACTATAGCATCGTCCACTTTTTCTGCTCAGTGGCTCAAAATTTGCTCTAACGTTATCACATTCACAATTTGATTCATGCATTCACTACGCTCTTTTCATTTTCATGAGTAACATCTAATTTTATTAAGAAAAAGCCATCTCTTGAAAGCGTGTCAACAGCGCTACTCGACCACTACTGTGGAAAAACCACACCTTCAACAAACGTAGGAGTTTATAAAATCCTTAGCACCTTCAAGAGAGCTTTTGTTGGTGAGGCTCGGAGGCTGGTCAACTGGAATACTTTTGTCTTGGTAGACTAAAAGGTGCTGTCAAATACGAGCTTGTATCTTCTG